AGAAAATAAAAATTAAATTATTGAAATATTTTAATGATTCTTCATTGTTGATGTATTCTAGTGCAGAGGACGCACTCTTCAGTTAAGTACCTTGTCATACACGATATTTTCTTTTTAATTATCAGRGGCAATAACAGACAACGCAGATGGTCTTCCGTACCTTGAACATGCCACATATAATTGACCATGCGAAAATCAAAGATATTTCAGATTCGAACAATAAACGCTAAAAGATTGATTTTGTAATGTTCGTATCGGACTGGGAGACGAGGAGATTTCGGCTTCAACGGTTGTCGTAGCCCAATGGGTRTCGGTTTCTAGTAAATTGAGTTCTTCACATGCATTCATTAAAACAGTTGCTTGAGCTTGAAGAGCTGCTGTAATTTCAATTAAACAGTCAATATTTTACAACCGAGGTTTTCATTATACTACAGAAATYAAATTTTATTAATATAAACTTATGYTTATATTTTTATATTTGGTTAACAGCAGGTATTTAAAACTTTTATGAATATTTATTAACACTAAAGAAATGCCTTATTTATTTATTTAGTCGCCATAAACGTTGATTTCACTATGTCTATTTGATTGTACTATAATATTTTAGCTGTGTTGATATTTATTAAAAGCTTATTGACACTCAGAAGTAAATATTTTTCTAACGCCTGAAAGTATGCAAGTTACAAGCAATTAAACTTTGAATATTTTTGCTAAAGAAATTCCACTTAGTTAAGAAACTATGCTGAGACATTGCCCAAGGGAACTAACTTTAAAACCAAATTAAAACCGCAGAACAGGATAATTTGCCACGAAGTTTGTGACGTATAGAAGAAAACGTCGAAGACTCTAAAAAATACATATGTACATAAATTACACTGATAAACAAATCCACTTGTTTTTTGTGACATGAACAGAACAAAATGTTTATTATATAAAATTGCCACAAATATAGAAAGTATATAGATAGACTTCTGCTATCACCTATAGTTTTGCTGCTATGAGGATTTTTGTTTAAAAAAAAGTACATTAAAATGTTACTGGTGATGATTAACAATGTCCAATGTCCGTTCCGACGACAGCCGGGTCTACGAAAACCGGAACGGACCCGGATTTTTATCCGGTCAAGGACTGTCAAGGACTGTCAACTCGGCAGAATTCTGCCGTTACAACAACAACAACAACAATGTCCAATGTCCTTAACAATGTCCAGCAGCAATCGGCAAGCAAACTGGAACTCCACTTGCCTTGCCTTGCTTTTCCYATAGCACTTACGGCCCCTAAATTTTCGGGGAAAAATCCAGATGGGAGTCCAGAAATTGAATTTTAAGGGGCATGTTGCAACCCATTTTTTTATTAGCAGTAAGTAATTTAGTCACAAGATCTTTGTAATTTTCAGCTTTCACATTTCCAAGAAAGTTTTAAACAACGCTTTTAAAGGCATTTCCTCAAAAGTACCATCTGGAACATTTTGTTTCAGATAACCAATTTAATATGCAAAGGCTGTAGTAATATCTTTTTGAAATCAACTAGAGGTTCACTGGTAACGTTTCTTTCTCCCGAAGAGAGTGCCTGACGTACTGGCCACTGCTCGTGGTGGTCATGTGAATTTGCCAAATAGCAAGAAGTTACATGAAGATAAATCAGACGAATGCGATGGTTGCGGCACGATATTAATACAGAACGAGATGGTGCACTATCGCACTTCATTGTTCAATAAATTCAGATATAGTAAAAATCGGCGCGTAYCTCAAATACTAATGAATATTTTAACGTTGAATTTCGCATAGATGTCAAACAGTACTACCAACTTACAGAAAAAACATACCGATTCGAAAAAACCGAAGAATAAATTAATCAAATTAAATCACCTTTGAATAGGATCACAGTAGTAATGTAAAATCTAAAGTCGCAGGTTAAAGAGTATCTGTGGGTGATAGAAAGATTATGTTCATTTGTCCGAACCACTACAGGATATAGTTGTCATAMAACCTAACCGATGCAAATCAGGTACTTGTGTGGAAGACTTTTTAATTTTAAGAGTTATCTTCACAAAAATACGAAAATTGGTACGGATTTATATTCAAAAATGTTCGAAACAAATTTCACATCGGATCGCTA